ACGGCCTCCAATACGCAGCTATCTACTCCATCTCCCCAACTCATCGGTGAACGAAACTGTGGCAGCTATGACCACTGTACAGTTATGCGGTTCAACTTCACATCACTCTCGTTTGAACAGTCGTCCTCCTGTCGTGGCGCAATTATTCTGGTGAATTCACACCAAAGGGGAGAAGCCCTGAAGTTGAGTTTCGCTCTTATTAAAGTTCATCAGCAGTGCATATCCACCTGGCATGCGAGGCGAAGGTGCTAGCACTATTCCACCAGTGCACGTTGGGCGCATCTAAATTCTCACGTCTGGACTGGTTCACGCTTGAGTGATGTGATTGGTATGATCCACACATCATCGATACGACGACCTAGTAACTGTCCTGGACGAACGATTGGTCCGCTTTGCGGGACACAGATGCCTGAAACCGGCTGGACAACTTTTGTTGATGCATGTGGGGTATGCGCGAGGTGTATTGTTATGCGGTTCTTACGGCTGACGACATCCAGTCAGTAAGGACTCATTTTATTGCTCCGGCCTATCACACATTGGTTCTGCTAACTTGTGAGCCAGACTGCGGAATGCCCTTAAAACTGAACTGAGTAACTGGTTCGTTTGTAAAACGTTGCTATTCCACTATACAGATAACTCCCAGCAAAATGAAAACTCTATCTAAAAAGTCCCTCTTCTATTCCCTAAGCAATCATCTACTGAAACAGATGGACCACCAATGGAGTCTGCCTCTGGATAAAAATCACCGTGTCACATGCTACACACCGTTCCATCAGCAAAACACAAACAAGTGGTAGTAAGCCTAGTTCACGCTGTCCGCGGCTTGCGTATCTCCGCAGCATTTCTATCTTTTCTTCCAATTCCCGGACAACCGATTAGGTGTACATAATGAAGGGTTTGGATATCACAGTTTCAATTTACTATCTTCATCAAATACGCAATACCTGGCTACAAAAGCTGTAAACTGCATGAGAGTTCGTAAAGTGTGTTTTGCTGTTTCGGAGGGACATAACTGCCAGGAATCGACCTAGCTAGGCTTACTCAATACACGCATGAATATACATAACACAGTGTATCTACTTTATTGTGACAAGAAAACTACTAAACTGTCACAGAGCAGAACAGCTAGGGTATTATGAGGTCAGTGTCTAAATTTTTTCAGCTATAAATCGCATTTTTGGATTATCCATTTGTTTGTTGGACGGATGTCAAAGTAACACGTAAATGAGGTCTGTTTTTAGTCTTCTATCTTAGCAGTCATATAAGCAAAAGATAACAAGTAATGATACTTTATTTTTGATTTCATTGAGGACACCAGATTCCACATGAGCACTGTGTTAACACCCTAATTTTTGGAAATAACCTGAGAAGCAGCCCCTGTACAGTGCTTTATCTAGCCCACAGTATTTCACGTGTCGGTAGACTCGTGACTTCTATGACACGATGCACACCTATGGAATCAGGCCAGCTGATCAGCAAACCTAAATAAAGACACTAAGAACACATTCCTGTTGACAAGAATGTCACACACTAACTGAGACACTGGAAGATGTATTGGATTTCTAGGATTTCCTTGGGGAAAAGTACGAACAGATATAATTTTCAGGCATATGGCCCGTCCCCAAGATACTCCAATACTTCTCGCAAGCGAAGCCTGAAACACACTTTTACGCCGACTTCTTTGCGGAAGAATAGAATCTTTTACATGTCCCTCCTCACCATCGACAGCACACGAGGAGAATTGTGGGCGGGGCAGAATAAAGCAGGACAACACTTAATTGTTTGACCTGGAATATCCTAATAGGGCTGAACACTGCCCCAGGTTTAACCGTTAGAAAAAGCTAGGTGGTCGGACTACGCATACTACAATACATACTAATTGTGGATCTGTTCGTCGAGTTTGGCAACTGATTTGCAAATGTTTCGTCATCATACGAGGAGACATCATTAGTGTGTGGGTGGGCGCCATCGGTCTGAGCATCTGTTCCATTGTCGTTCACTTCACATCATCATTTATGATTCTAAGATAGCAAAATCACGAGTCGTAACAGTTACGAATCTTCAGAGATCCATCCTGTTTCTGAAGGTAAAAGCTCGGTGATACTACGATGGGCTATTAGGATCAGCATGTTCCCCCACCAGGGTTTGAGTGACGAGCGTTGTTTGCTGAGTTTACCAAAACCTGGAACACATCGTTCTCCTATTATCGATTGTTGTTTGTCCCAAATAATCAGGGAGCAATTTCACCACATTTCCCGTTTTTTTGTTAATAATCACAGACGACTAAGATTGATACGAGTTCACCGTTGAAATTTAGACATCACCTGCTTTTCGTTCCATTTATGCCAAACTGGTTTATCGGGTGCAGAGTTGTGCTTTGATGCTATTTTCCGATCGTTCAATGCTTCTGGTAGTTTATGAAAAAGCCTTACTTTACGTCTTGTTTCGGGACATCTAGAATTCGGAGCTTCCTGAACACATCAAGCTGAAACACGAATCAACGTACAGTTGCGCTAACTGTTTATGCAAAAACGAATTAGCTTTGATTTCACAATCACCATACCTACATTTCTAAACGTAGTTGCCATTCCGCCCATACTTCGACGAAGTGAAACAAGGTCATGACCGTGCAGAGTTTTCGTGAACGGTCGGTTTAACATACCCTTCAGCCAGACGCGTAATCGAGATCCCAGATATGGCAGGGGGTCACCGAAATTCTCCTTTTGTGTCAGAGTTACATTTAGAAGAATATTGTCCACACTCAGAACGACCTGACGAGCGTGTTTCCTAGATCCGATTATCACCTGAGTGCTGATTAAATGGCACGGCTGGTGGGTCAAGAAATGCACTCACTGTATCAATCGACCCTCCGTACTCAGCAACTAAAATTTGCTAGAAGGTGGGCTTCAGAGATCCACAGCACTGGGGTAGTGAAAGAGCACTCGGCGTCACACGTCTGAGTCAGTTGTGAAGTCCAGTTCTCTAGGAGAGACCAATCAGGCTTCAGTAAAACTTCAGCAATGATAGAAAAAGAAGGCATAGCTAATTCCGAGTAAAAATTTGGGACACTCATGGTTAGATTCACAGCAGCCAGTCGTCTTTGCTGGAGTGACCATATCAAGGGATCGCCAGCAATGGTAAAAGCTTACTACACGGGTCAAATAAACGTGGCCGTCTTGTGGTAATGGCGCCCCAGAGTGCGACAGCTAAGATCAACAGCTACGAATTCTTCAGAAGAGACCAACTGTGCTAAAAACCATTGTTTGGTCTCTCCTAAGCGTGATAGCGATTTCATTAGGCACTAGATGCATACCATCCACACACCCCCGAAAAAAATTAGGTATCCACCCCACAAAAAAGACGTTTTGCAAACAAAAATGCGATATTTTCAGTGATGATTTTCATTGAAGGCGATGGATACGTGTAGTTGGCTTTGGTGTCCCGAGTTGGAAGTGAGCTTACTATCACACGAAGGAATCGTGATGAAGCTGAATACTGAGTTTGTGTCCAGACGGTGTGCTCTGGTCATACAGCATGCCGTAATCCAGTCCGACAAAATGTTAACACTGCGTCAGCGATATTAGCTCTGCCTTGGGTGGAAGCATCCGCGCAAACACTTTCTAATCTGCGACGCTTTTTGGGAACGTGAAAATATTCACAAAGCGATCGCTTACAAGCCTTGACATAAAACGAAAGTCTTTGTTACCAGTCCAGCTGGTGCTTGTAAAGTGATGGCTTGCCAGCAGCGGGGTTATCATAACTCTTCCTACTATGGTGATGCTCAAGACTGTGCGTGTCAGACTGCTTTCCAACTAAGACCATTTAAGGTATTCTCCGNTACATTTAGAAGAATATTGTCCACACTCAGAACGACCTGACGAGCGTGTTTCCTAGATCCGATTATCACCTGAGTGCTGATTAAATGGCACGGCTGGTGGGTCAATTTCGAAATGCACTGTATCAATCGCCCCTCCGTACTCATCAACTAAAATTTGCTGGAAGGTGGGCTTTAGGGATCCAATTGTGCCAAAAACCACTGTTTGGTCTCTCCCAAGCGTGACACCGATTTCATTAGGCACTAGATGACTTGAGGACTGATCTGGAGATTCCTGAAGATGTCGGCGCCATGTGACGAGCAGACGCCTTACGAACAAAAAATGCGATATTTCCAAGGATGATGATCTTCATTGAAAGCGATGGATACGTGCAGCTGGTTTAGGTGTCCCGAGTTGGAATCAAGCTTATTAACATACGAAAGATTCGTGATGATGCTACGGACCAGTATGTATCCGGACGGTGTGCTCCAGTCATACAGCATGCAGCCTGCCGTAATCCAATCCGAGAATATGTTACCACTGCGTCAGCGATATTAGCTCTGCCTTGAGTGGAAGCATCCGCGCAAACACTTTCTAATCTGCGACGCTTTTTGGGAACGTGAAAATATTCACAAAGCGATCGCTTACAAGCCTTGACATAAAACGAAAGTCTTTGTTACCAGTCCAGCTGGTGCTTGTAAAGTGATGGCTTGCCAGCAGCGGGGTTATCATAACTCTTCCTACTATGGTGATGCTCAAGACTGTGCGTGTCAGACTGCTTTCCAACTAAGACCATTTAAGGTATTCTCCGTGAGTTATCCACGAGGACTACCTCACAGAAATGTCAAATTTCGACCTCCACAATAGAGTTCATTTGAGATATTTGGCCTTAGTCGACTGTGGTCCCATGCTAGCTGTGACACGGCTTGAGGATTTTGCGAGATCTCATTCCCCCGTCTATAATCCGAGACCTATACTTCTGGTAGTGGGATTACAAGTTGCCCTCGACAACAAACAATACGATCAATCTACACGGCATTTTTCACCAAACGTCGGTTGCGAAAAACGCGACTGACCTGATACTGCGATAGAACGGAAAATGATGGCTTTGCCGAAGATGTAGACAAAATAGGCGAAGAAGCCGAATGGGATCAACTGCACGCCTGCCACGTCCATCTATTCTGGTTCAACACAAGGTAGCCACTTGTTTGTATCCAAAGGATAAGTCAAAGAGATTGGACGCAAATGGACTTCAGACCGACGATGTGTCGCTGGTGTACACCGGATCATGTGATCACTAACGTCTTACAGTAGGCGTGAAGCGCGAGGCTTCTGGAAGCAAAGAAACAATTGGGAGAGTAAAAACATGCCAAATACAGGGGAAGAGGAATTACTGGTCAAACAATTCAATACTGTCGAAAGGCAACTTCAGCAATTCATTTTTCTGAACGATATCCACATTCGATTATTCGTGAGGTCCCAGAGATCAGAAGGTCTTTCGGAGAAAATGCAATGTGGGATGGACAAAAGATAAAAACAGCGTCAATGCAGATTGGATTGTTCAAATGCCTGACAAGAAAGTCACCAAGTTTCACACGAAGGAAAACAACCTTTACCGTTCCGAGAGAGAGAGAGAGAGGGAGTACAAACAACTGCAGTTGCTGGGTGATGGGCTGCAACGGAACAGATAGAGATGGCCGTCTTTGCAGAGATAGGCAATAGACAAACAATTCTAGTTCAAAATAAAACAATGTTTTGGCACCGATCAAATACAGAGGCAAAGGAATGTGTAGAATCTGCGTGGATGATGAGTTTGCGAATGCATCCAGCGATGGGCAAGGTCGATTATGGATGGGACAAGATGAAATAGAGATGGAATCATTAAGATTTAGGAACCTGAATAGAGTGAACAGTAGTGCATCACGAGGAACATTGGCTACCGCTCGTATTGCACAATGGGAGTTGGGCGTTGACGAATAGAAACAGCGGAGGGCGATATGGAACCATTCTCACAATCTTTGCCCGCAAATTGAGTAGGCTAAAATGGTTGGGAAATAGATAAACCGGAATAAAGGACAGTGGCTCTCAAAATTAGTAAATAAGGATAGCCAGTCAGGGTAAAATGTAATATGAACCAGGCTATCTTCAGTCGGACACGGAAGGCACGCACGCAAGGCAGTTATGCGAAATCAAAGCTACCCTTGAACGTATATGCTCTTGGAAGTGACAGCTGACTTGGACAACCAAAACGACTGATGTAGGCGAGAGTTAACACAGCACAAGACACGATGTATAAACGCTATCCGTCGGGATAAGCAGGAGGCAGAATATCCTGACTCTAAACAGATTTGATTGCCAGGCGCGCCCATACTAATCTGTTGCCCTGTGCTGCGGGTAGCCCAGCGATAGAAACTTACACTAAGATGGACTAAAAACATGACTAAAACATGAGTCCAACAGATAGAGACGGTGTGCTTTATCTTCAGAGGGTTGCACCTAGGCCTAGGGCGACGGGGATAGCTGTTGTGGACAGCCGATGTTATTGATTTCTATTCAAAAGGGGATTTCTCTGAGAAGGATTATTGTACGGCGATGATGACGATCAAACGGCATTTGAGATGCATATTACTGTGTTTTACTATCCGGAACTACGTACAATTGAGCCAGATGATTGTGCACAACCATTAAAACATAATCTCTCTTGGCTCGGCGGTTAGAGCACGAATTTACTAACCGAAAGATCCGGGTTGGAACCCGACCCATGCCTCTTGACTTCCCTGTTTAGGCTTGGACAAACTGGCAGCATCCTAGCAATTGTGCTTCCTTCTGGTGGCATAACAGTTAGGCACCGCAATTTGTGACGAAACGTTTGCAACGAAATTGCGAAACTCAGCGAACAACTCTACCATCAACTGAAGAACTTGGGATGCCGACATTCCTATATCATATTACGTTACAGGTAGATTCAAATTTCGAGACCCGATTTTGGTTCATTCCGCTAGCTATTGAGCACAGAACAACGGTTGGCGTCGGACAACAAGCAATACTAATATGAGTGTTGTAAACTTGACCTTACACTGAATAGAATATTAGAGAAGTTTCGTATACTACTCGTCCGAAGGGACCAATTTGAATTGGGGACTGCACAATAACTGATATTTGCCAGTTTTTCCGGCAGCGGTCTGACGTCTCCTTGACCCGTTTTATGCTCGAGCAGTGTCACCGAACATCGAGCGAGTAGTGTCCTGGATTCGTTAATTCGAGGACCAGCTTCCCAAAAATACTTCAATACAACTTTCAGGTAGACTGTATGTTCTGGTTCCGAATCCCTTCTTTAAACGAAGCATCAAGCTCTGGTAAGTGAATGTTACCCGCTACAAACCAAACGGAATCTTTCTAGATTGACATTGGGTGTTCCCAACTGTTCTCTCCCGATCTTGATGGCCAGTGGCCAGTATCCACAACGCAAGTCGAGCACCGTAAAATATCGGAATCGCTGGAGAGAATCGAGATTTCCACAACAGAAGGGACAGCTACAAATCTATTCGGGGCAGGTTCAGTCAAAAATCACTATTTTCAGCTCGTTTTCTTCACAAGCACCACCCGGGAGTTGTACGGTTACGCCATTTTCAAGCACCTCTTAACCCTGTCAGTGGGACCCGATGGGTCTCAACCTTCCAGCGTAGGCACACAGAACACAATTCGGAGGTAAAGTCCTAAATTATCTCAATGCTTGTACACTTTGAAATAATTGTGGAAATAACGCAGGCGTTTACAAAAGGGGTTTAGTGCTTTTAAAAAGGTAGACTGTTGTACAAGAGTTCATCATCAATCATCATCAATGACAGCAACATCAGTGTTGGCACTGATGCTTCACTGCCGTACAACCATAAAATTCGTTTAGTTATATTAAAATATATAATTGTATTAAAAGCCCTACAGTGATATGTCAAGCATACTGAGGTGCCTACACCTCCAACCGCTCAATCAGACAATCTGGAAAGAAACTGACAGCACGAACGCCACTGACATCGATTAGCCGCCATTTCTTGCAACGTCTCCAGCCGAGCACAGACGTGGTCACGGGGACCCCATCCTGGAAGTCTTACAACACCAGCAACACCCAAACTCTTCGTGATCTCTTTCACGCCTTTTTGCCAAGTCATGTGCTGTACAAGAGTTGTGCAGCTTATTCCAACTGTGGTGCGCTTGAAACTGCTGACACCTTTGTCAAAGGAGGCGGGGCGACCTCCGGCCCGACTTAGGTCAGTCTTTGATTTAGATTGCGAAATGACCGAAACAGAATCTGTCTTCAACGGGATGTAGACGAAATACATCGTGCATTGCACAAACTTTATCAAACTTTCTAAAGTGTGGAAATCATATGCAACTGTAAAACAGCCACGAGTAACAAAAGGCTCTTCGCACAAATATAATAGCAGAAGCCGTCGTTATAATCAGAGAAAGTGACACCTGTGTTGACACCGCCGTAGAACCATAAAGTAAAAAAAGAGAACGGAGTGCGTGAGGGAGGTACCTGTTGTCAACCGCAAGCACTTCGAGATACCTACAAACTAAAAATGTTCAATCGGACAATCTCGAAATAAATCGACAGCACGAACGCTACTGACATCAACTAACCGCCACTGCTCGCACTGTCTCCAGCCAATTGCAGTGAGTCACGAGAATCTCATCCTCGAAAGCGGACCGCATCAATAACAGGTAAACTCATTGTACTCTCTCCCATGCCCTTACCTTGTCCATCTTGCAGTTTGCGCCATTTCAAAAGAGGCACGGAGAACAGTAGTCGTTGTGGTAGGCGATATTTCGGCATGTGTAGCACATAGCCGAGCAAACCTCCCGGGTGGTGCTGGGTGTCTTTATCGATTAAGGTATCTAGTGCACAGCCAAATACCCAGTTTAATCAAAATAATCGTTCAGCTGTAGCGCCCTTTCGGTGCCTATTTGCCATGCCACCCGAAGGAAGCACGAGGGCTGGGATACTGTCAGGTTGCCCAAGCCTAGACAGGGGAAGTCGAGTGGCGAAGGTCGGATTCGAACCACGGACATTCCGGTCAGTAAATTCGCGCTCTAACCACTTGAGCCATCTTGCCCCCAAAATACCCAGTTTATAATTACCTGTATAAAAATTTGTTAACGCTGCGCGAAACCAGTAACGCTTATGGGACATCGTTGCCAAAAAACTGAAGACGCCTCACATCATCCGCCCGCAGAGGTCATGCTTCGAAACCACACATCAATGCAGCCCCTACTGTAGCCTGTTGCACGCTACCCTCGAGATCCAGTGATATGCCTTTTTGACTCCACAAGTGACGCTCAGACGTGATTCAGGCCTTTGAGATCAGTGCAACCACTTCATCAGACATATTACGTTAGAGAAGAACTACCGAGGTGTGTAAAATTCTCTACAACCTCCAGTACTTCCCATTGAATCGCAAAGGGTACATTTATGAATTGAACTTGAACTGACTTAGCACTTTGTAGGTGCAAGGCGCATGTCGAAAGATGGTGATCAGCCTATGCAACAGTTCTTCAAAGATGAGCGCGACGTCGTCTGTTCCAGATGAACAAGTTCCTCACCACTAGCGGCTAAAGCACCCAACAGCGTTCACTTCATCGTTCCACTGATGACGAAGGTGAGCAAAAATGGAGAGTAGACATTCTTGGCGGATGCCAATTCTTGCAAAGAAGCCTTCATAGGGCTCTTCACTTACTCTCGCGCGCCCGGAGGTATGTGAATGTAACAACCGGAGTATATTCATTAAAAATTGGAGCACCTCTTCCTGAACAAATGTAAAAAGACAGAAAAAACCGGTCGATCGACCAAAAACCAAAGGCACACGTGAAGCTGAGGAACACAGAAATTGTGCATCGCCTGTACCCGGGGTGCTGCACTAGCACCCGAAAGTGTGAAGATGCGGCGGGTACAATCTCTATCCGGCAGAATTCCCGAGTCGAATTTTCGCGTACCGGCGTAAGAAGAAGAATCATTGACAACAAAAGTCTTGCACTGCCTGTAGGCAAAAGCGAACTTATAAAGCAGGCAGACAGACATGCTTGTACGACTGCGGTAACTGTCTTAAGGAGATAGTATCGGAGTAACCCCGTGGTGACCCAGGTCGAACAAGTTCATTCTGCTGAAAGCCCAGCACCGAGCTGCACCCTAGCGACAGAGACCAAAAGTGTCAAAATACATGAAAGCGAGTCGACGATAACGCACTTCGAGTGATTCAAATGGTACCCTCAAATTCGGATTATAGGGTAACTTAGACATTAAACAATTACCGGGCCACGGCGGTCGCTCGGCTGAGCGGATTCGTAAAAAAACACTAGCTGGTCATCAGCGTGTTACGGTGAGATAAATGTAGGTTGGATTCAGGCATAATATGCAAATTGTGATGTACCTATCACAAATATTGATCGAACACGTGCGGTCTAACAACGCGAATTCAAAGGCCAATTAATTCGCATACATCGGTTTCTAAAAAACGAAATACGACGTAGGAAGAGTAGGCCACTGCGAGACTGTCCTTGCGCACTTCATATACTAATTCCATCTACGAGTCTGGATCGAAAAAGTTGCGATGATTCGTTTGAATGCCTCCAAAGCTCAGCGTGTATGGCGTTCTATTGACATTCAACTAGAGGTAGATTATAAGGTACAAGATCCATCTTGATTTGCTGTTCGGAAGCATAGCTTCCCGTTAAATGTATAGAAGCTGTGTTTTTACTGACGGATGGCTTTTGTTAGGCTGGCTACCTAGGAAATGAGTACTTCTGATGAAACGAATACCAAGCTGCTAACCGACCTAATGAAAGCGGACAGTCTTTACCGAATAAGCAACGACCGGAACGCGTTTTCCCCTACGAACAACAGGGAAAATAATCGGAAACATGCGACGCACCCCATTGTTCTTCAACTAGACATCCTGGCTCTCCTCTTACCGCTTTAAAAAGACAGGCTTTTGCAGAACCCAGATATGACAACACAAAAAATTTCTCGAATAAAAGCCACCT